CCTGAACCCTGACCCTGAACCTCTGAACCCCGAACCTCGTACAACTCGCTTCGGTTGTACCCCCGCACCTAGACCTCGTCTCCAGACTCCTACCTGTCCTGATCGTGGTGTGCCTTGGGCTACCCGACCCTCAGACCCTGTCCGTTACACAGCGTTGCTGCTACACCTCTAGACCACCTTCTTATTTTGGCCATCAAGTACCCAAAATTCCTGATGGTTGAAAATTAGGTAAACAAGTTTGGCACCACCAGTTGCAACACAACCCCGAGCCGACAGTACCGTTTCCACCCAGCATACAAATTTCCATGATGGAACTGTTAGGTAAGTGGGCCCTAAACCTGAACGTCAACGGAGAGTTTTGTCGCAACTAACGGTGCCAACAGCGTTTACCTATCTTTCAACCGTCAAAAATTTTGGGTGCTTGGCGGCAAAGGCTAGATGTAGCACTAGAGGTGGTGCAGCAACGCCGTCAACCCCAAATACCGTAAAAACTCTTGAAATCCGCCACCTCAGGCCTGTGACCAATATCCCTGTGAATGGCGACATCAGCTCAGATATGTTTAGCTTAGAAAGTTAACCAAATTGCGAGAGCAAGTTAATGAGATTCAACACAGCAAAGTGGCTTGCGTTATACTATATCAGGAGATCGCTAATCCTTCTTAAGAGTCTTTGACTCAGAAGCCGGAGATCACAGGGATGACAGAGATTGTGGATTTCAAGAGCTTTTACGGTACCAACACATCCGGAGTATGCCTGGGACCTGCCACGCCCGAAATTGCCATACCGCCACCAACAATCAGCACGGCTCTTCTATGAACTGCTGTCAACTACCTTCATGGTACTTTTTTTTTTTTTGTTGGCTCCTTTACAGATTTGGACTTTTGTGTCGAAGGAAGTGAAGAAGTGCTACTAGAAGAGAGACGTAAGGAGTCTTTCCTGGGGAGTCTTTCATTACAAGGGGCGAATATACGCGGTATTTAGAGGGTAGTTGGGCCTAAGATTTTAATCGGTCAGAAACATTGGGAAGGGCGAGGAAGTTGGGAATTGGGAGTTGAAAACTCTCAGCTTGTGTCGTGTTATAAAAAAAAAAAAAAAGGTTTCATTCATGCTAGGACGGTGCTGTCGACGTTGTACCACCAAAAATGGCATGTTGGGTAAAGACTGAATAAGAACCGAGCCCCCAACTCTACCGACCGTTAAGACCCCCTTGACTGTTGCCACCGTCAACGAGCACTAGACCGCCGTCTGTAGGTAACCGGGCGCTTACTTTCCTTTATTATTTAGAACCCCTGCATTGACTCTTCAGTTATTAATGAAGTATCTTCCCTCTCTTGTCACAACGATCATAGATGAAATATTATCTAATGGGTATGTTTCTCGCTTCGGGTAGAGGGCGCACTCGTGTGTGTATACACTGAATCTGGGCCTCCTTTACCCCGCTATTCCCGACTCGAGGCTAAGGGGAGAGGAAACCTACAGGGGGCCGATGCCCTTCCACCCTTTTTTTTTAGAGGAAGAGGTAGAGATACAAAAAACTGTAGTATGATATCATATATAGAGGCCATTGCCCGGCCGCCACAACCGTCGCACGAGTCTGATGCACGATCGAACAAGTCTTTGTACCACCATCACTAATCATCCTAATTCTTACAGCACAGTACGGTACTCGAGTATGACTGCAGCAAACCATGGGGCTAAGCTGTCCTACGGTACTAGTACTCGAGTACTGTACAGCCACTTAGGAACGCGCAGCAGGGGCTCGCTAAAAAAAAATAAGAAACCAAATCCTTCTTTTGCGCTGCCTGAGATGTGGTTCAGCAGTTTTCGCTTCTGCATCGGGAAGTGCTCTTTGCCCAGAATAATCGCCGGCCGTTTCCCCGCCTGAATATTTTATTTATGAGCGCACCCGAGCTCTTGATCTCGATAGCATGATTTAAATAGGGGGCCCGCATTGTTGGGTTATTCATCTTTTCTCCTTCTTTTCCATTGTTGCACCAGGAAATCCGGGACCATACCTGTAGTTATTGTGAGGGGCTCTCGATCAAAACCCCCCCGCTTACATAACCACTTCCACAATGCCCCATCCCACCCACATATGACAATCTGCAAGAGGCCCCCTCCAGCACAACATTCCCGCAACATCATTCTGGAACAAGGCTGCTGGAAGAAAGGGTGCCTTGCACTTAAAAGGGACACCTGGCCCAATGCAACATGTAACGCTCAACCCTGTGTGTAATCAGTACCATATCCTAAATCCTTTCCCTTTGGTAAATATATTAACTTGCATTTTCAATCATCTTACAGTTGAACGGCTAATGTGCCATACTGTATATACAGAAACTCTAGTGGCAGATGTAGGGAGAGGGTCAGATATCGGAGGTAAATGCTGGCTCGTTTAATGGCAGTTTTCAGGAAATGGGAAAAGGTTTTCAATATATGAAAGTGGAAAGTCTGATACAGCATATACTTGACATGTATTGAGATTAGTATGTTTTTAATTTGTGATATGATTGGAAGTCAAAGTTAAAGCATTGCCAAAGATAAAGGATTTAGGGTATAGTACTGATTACATATAGGGTTGAGCGTTACATGTTGCATCGAGCTAGGTGTCCCTTTAAGTGCAAGGTATCATACCCGCCAAGTCTCAACATGTCCGACGAGCGGCTTTTCCGCTACCTGAGATCTCGTAAGAGCACTACCCCCCCCCCCACCCCCCACACACACACTTCACATCTACTGCAGAAATGACAAATGCCGGGCGGCTAAAATTACCTCTTTTCCGCAATCACATGAATCACTAAACACAATGATAGCGAGGCATGACAAGCTTTCTGTATCTGTTCTGGTCCCAGGGTGTCCTGAGATCGCTGTTGAGAGGGCGCGGTTGTCGTTCTGGGGCTCGGTACCGGTATCACACTGGTATTGGAGTGATAAGCTGTGATATTATTTTTTACTTTTTCTAGGCAGACACAATCAATGGCTGAGTCAACCCCTTTCAGGCTGAGACGTGTTTTACCCCATAAACACAGCCCAACGCTGAGCCACCCGGGGACATAATCTTTCGCGTCAAAGAGCCCTCGGTCAAACAACATAAAGCTGCAGTGCTGCTGAAATTCCCCAGCGCTGAGGAATTATTGGACGCTATTTTTTTTTTTTTTTTAGAGCCTCCTAGGAAAACAACATGGCACTTCTGCCCACTTCCGGCATTTACTTCTTTCCCGAAGACGATGTACCCCCACCCGGCGACCCGATTTACGACCGGCAACGAGGTCAACCTCCATTTGTTGGTGGTGTCGGTGTGAACCAGTTCACTGCGATACCCGGCGGCTATGGCCGCCAACCAGCTGCACACACTGAACCCAGTTATCCACTACCGGTACCACCGGTGCAACAGCAGGTCTTCCTTCCGCTGGTGCAAGTCTCGTACCAATGTCAAATCCTCACGACAGCCGCGCGGACAACGCTCACACAGATATTCTACCACCCAGGGAACCGACCGATTTCAAGAGCAACATACACATTCCCGCTTTATGCTAACTGTTCTGTCGTCTCTTTTGTTTGTAGAGTGGGTGAAAGTAAGGTTATCAGCGGTGTCGTCAAGCCGAAGGAAGTTGCGAAACGGGTATACGAGAGCGCGACTAGAAGCGGGCAAATTGCGGGGCTGCTGGAGTACAACACCCCGGATGTTTTCACCACTAGTATTGGGGGTATACCCGCTGGCGTGGAGATTAAGGTCGAGATTGGGTACATTTTGGAACTACCACACGATGCGGAGGCCGACGGAATCAAGTTCACGGTTCCGCTTTCGATTGCACCGAGGTACGGACCACCGCCGCCGGGGGCATTTGGGCAGAACGGCGCGGAGGTTTCAATGAATAAGAGTCTTCTAATGGAGATTGAGGTTACGATGGGTGAAGCGATAAAGTCTGTTGAAAGCCCTTCGCATCCAACAGCTGTCCAGCTTGGACAACATGGAAAAGGGGGAGGAAGAGCTAGTAATCAAGAGCACGATCCCAAGAAGGCCTTAGTCACACTGTCTCAAACACCTGCTGAGCTTTTGAAAGATTTCGTGCTCTTGATCACTACTGTGACTCCGCACTTCATATCTACCCCTCAGGCACTGCTAGAAACCCATCCAACTATCCCCGGTCATCAAGCTTTAAAAGTAACGCTTGCACCGCGCTTCGAGATGCCAGGGACGGAAACACCGGAAAATATTGAAATAGTCTTTCTGGTTGACCGATCCGGTTCTATGAGAGACACGATCGAGCACGTAAAATCAGCCCTCCGTGTATTCCTCAAGTCTCTCCCGTTAGGCTGCTTTTTCAACATTATATCCTTCGGCAGTAATAACACCTTGCTCTGGGAGCGCTCCAAAGCCTACACCGAAGAAACCTTGAATACCGCATCCGAGCACATCGAGACGTTTGACGCGAGTTATGGTGGGACAGAACTATTACCTCCCTTGATGCAAGCATTTTCCCGCAGACACTCGGAACCGGGAATGAGTACCGAAATCATGGTTCTAACGGACGGAGAGATCTGGAGGTTGCCTGAGCTACTAGAGTATATCCAAAAAATGCGTAAGCAAAGCGGTGGGGCAATTCGGCTTTTCAGCCTGGGCGTGGGAGAGAGGGTGTCGCATGCACTCGTTGAGGGAATCGCAACTGCTGGGGGAGGATATTCCCAGATTGTGACCAGTGGTGGAGCCAGCGGTGACGCATTGGCAAATGGTCTAGAGGCGAAGGTGGTGAGGATGTTTAATAGTGCCCTGACGGATCATATTGAGGAGTATAAGTTGCATGTTTTGCAAGAGGAAGGGGACGAAGAGGATTCGGAGAGCGAGGGTGAAGAAGAGGGAGCTGAGCTAAGAGCACAGATAACCCCCGCCCATCCGGCTCCAGTACGAGTCAGAGCCCCGGCAGGACGGTCGGGGAGGATTAACCTGTTTGACCCTACTGTAGCGCCCCGCCGGCGTTCTCCTCCGCAACCTCGCTCATCGGATGTCGGCCCGGCCCCATATTTGGCCAACATCCAGGATAGCGGAAACAGATTCGCCCACTTGAAGAAGTTACAAGGCCCGGAGGTAACCCAAGCACCTTTCAAAATCCCACCACTTTTCCCATATGAGAGGTCTGTAGTGTACCTCCTCGTCCCCCCTACCACCAAACAATTGAGGTACGCAAAGTCCGTGACTTTGAGTGCGACCACAATTGCCGGTGACGAGCTCTCACTTTCAATTCCAATCACTCACATCAAGCAGCCGGGAGAGACTGTGCACCAACTCGCCGCTAGGATGTTATTACGTGATTTAGAAGAGGGTAGAAGCTGGCTTCATTCTGATAAATGCGGTGTTCTAGGAGGAGATCCGGCGCGAGTTCAGGAGTACGTCCAGAGAGAAGGTGAAGAGGTTGGCATGAGGTGGTCACTGGCGAGTAAATGGACCAGCTTTATAGGTGTGGAAGAGGAGATTATGGACGTGCCCCCGATCCGGACCCCCGCGCCACCCGAGGGAGATCTATCAGCATTGTCAGAGGGCAGATCTTCCGCTCCCTTTACACCTAGTATACCGGCCGAAACTAGTGCAGAGAGTGAAGACATCGTGACCGCCAGCACATCCACCTCCTCTTCCAGATTCGATGGTATCCCCTTGCCAGGGTCTAATCTTACGCATTCAGTTCCCGTAACGATAGGTTCTGAATCTCTGCCGCGTGTTCTAAGGGGGGCTCTAGTGGTGAACAGTGGAGTTGATACAATGAGTCGCCTTCTGGCTCCGAGGGATACGCCTGATCCCACACATCCGATATGGGGCCGCTCGGAGCCTCTCTTCTATAGGAGACCACAGTGTGGGGTGGTTCCCTCTCAAGGAAATTCATATCCCTGCTCCGCGCCCACGGGACCCTATCCCCCAGCCCCCCCTAACCCAGGCCTTCCTGCCTCCCATTCATCTGCCGCCGCCACCGATATGGCCCTCCACTCCCTTCCCCGCAAGTCCCACAGCAAGTCCGACCGCAAGTCCCACCGCAAGTCCCACCTCAAGTCCCACCGCAAGTCCCACCGTAGGCCGGCGCCAGACCGAACACCCATCGGACCTTTAATTAACATCTACAGACTGATTGCAGCCCAGAAATTTGACGGCAGCTTCCACATCGCAGACGAGTACGTGGCTGAACTTCTGGGTTCCCGGATGGATTCGGCGCCCCAGGCATGCGGCGGGGATAAAGTCGCTTGGGCTTCGTTGCTCGTTGCAGTGCTCTTGGAGGGAAAGTATGCTTGTCTGAGAGATGTATGGGAGTTGGTCGTTAGGAAGATTTGGGTATTTTTGAGTAGTAGGGAAGGTGTGAGGGTGGAAGAAGCGAAAGTGATGGCGGAGGAACTTGTTGCTGGGTGGGAGTAGGGCAGTCTTTCTTGGCCTTTCCGGGTGGATTTTCGGGTTTCCTTGACTCGTTAAACTGGTTAATGGATTGTAGGGGGAGTGTGTTTGTTTTTTTACTCCTTCCCAGTTGTCTTACCCGGGCAATTCTCTTTTTTTTTCCCGGTCCCGAGTCTGGTCATATACATCACTCGCTAGTGTTTTCTTTGGAAACTTTGGTTTACTATGAAAGGTGTGTTATTGGGGGCTGTTTTTGCTGTTTGCCATCACAAAAGGTATTTTCCGATGATCTGTAGCGTTTTGCACGCTGTTCCAAAAACACACCTTGTTAAGGTTTTGCGAGGATAAGGTGTTGGTGGCATTTCGCAGCGCAAGATATTTCCTGATGATATTTTAGAAACCAGAGATATCAAGCAAAATGCTTGCAAATTTTCAATTTTTTCTAAAGGAGTTAGCAAAAATAAGCGCCGGGATGGGTAATACTTCCAATGACCCTAAAGCCATCTATAACGGACTAGCGTGTAGGGACCGGTGGTCCCAGCCTGGCCTGGCAGTCCCCCGAGAAATTTGCCCCGGATAGGACCACGGCTAGCGATCCCGTCCGGTCTCTTCTTCTTAGCATTATCCCCGCCGTCCCTGTGAGGGCCCTAGGCGGTTGGGAACACTGGCTATGGAAGTAGTCGCCTTATTAGATGATCCAGATACGTTTCTGGATTTTCTTCAGCGACTTCATTGTAGACCGGAGTAAGCTCCCCGAGGTCTTGAGGGAGTTGGAAACTATTCACTAAGTTTATGCCCGTCTGGGGCTTTTAGAATTTACACCTGTAGAGTTGGACTGATTGGAATAATAATAAGAGGTTTTTTATTCTTGTGAGATTGTTGCATGAGTGGAGAGAAGGGAAAATGAAAATGATACACCTAACGTACTCTCATCGACCGTAAGATAATATGCGACACTGCGTAGTGGAGAATCCCAATTATACAACCTGTGCACAATGCCTAGTCCACCTATCCCAATCCTAAATATTGAACACTTCTGACAACTTATAACTGACGCTCTGACAAACAATCAATGATCCACAAAAACCCAAGATAAAAACATGCCTCAATCATATAAGTCCGAGTCTACAACGGTTGATCTTAGTTTTAAAGCCCCAGCACCACGTCAAGGTGTCAACCACGCTGGGGTCCCACGAGCCATCCTATCATAAGCGGATGATAGCCATTTTCTTTACACAAAAAACCATCATATCAAACCATGGTCTAAAGTATCACTCCTTCATATCAGGCACCCCTCCTTTCGTGGCATGTTACCTATTGCTCACTGTTGGCAATGGTAAAGATGATACTGCTCGTGGGAGCCGGGACGCTCCCGGCAGGGCAGGAACTCTGGCTGTCGTTCACAGTCCCGGAGCTCCTCCGCAACTGTCATGCAAAATCCATGGAGAGGAAAGAAGAGGATTTGGTGGGGGGGGTGGCTATATTTATAGGAATCCAGGGGGGGGAAAGAAAGTTTTTTTCTTCCATAGAATTTTCAAGAGGGTGGAGGTGAGGCATAGGTTTTAGGACAGTAGTGTTCATAGAAGAGCTTTTATGATGCTATAATAATATTACTATTATAACAAGTGGCAACCGGCCTCCGGCCGGATTTGAATTTTGAAAGTGGCTACTGTGGCCGAGTAGCTTTAAGGCCATAGTATATATATGTATATATTTTTTTCTGTAATAATAGACAAAAGTGTAAAACATATCAAATTGTAGACAAACTCATATACCAACATTTGTCCTGCATTGTATATCCTACTCCCATTCCTCCTCTCCCTCTTCTAATTCCTCTTTCAAACTATTTTCATCAATTGTTTCATCCATATACCTCTGGTCAATATTTAGGAGCCTGCTAAGTGTAACTGGAACTGGAGTTCAGTCTATTCGGTTCCCGGATTTGTTGGGATTTGTTTTATGTTTTGTTTTACTTGTAGTTTTGAGTATCCTTTGATACTCAGTTTGTTTTACTTGTGGTTTTGAGTATCCTTTGATACTCAGTTTGTTTTACTTGGGGTTTTGAGTAAAGAATACTTGGGAACTTGCCCATGCAGGACATTGACGAAATCTTGTACTTAAGGACCGCTGTTTCCCTTAGAGGAATAGTAGACTTCGTGTTATATATATGAACACACAGATCTTCCCCGCGCAGAGACCTCCTGAAAACCGTGAGAAATCCAGGGCCAACACCCCCCTCCGGTCCCGCCGTTGGCCCTGCGTGCAGCAATAGAGTTGCCAGAATTTGATGTCCTAACAGTATAAACCGGTTGAAATGAAGGAGGCTTCATAACACCGTATACATCATCGCCGTCCATCTGACCAAACGCTGTTCACAGGACATATAGGAGGGGATCTCAGGCCGTGTCTGAAAAGTGGAATGGAGTCAATCGGACAGTCAACCAAGGAGCTACGAGCTAAGCGAGATTGACCATCTCAGATATGGACAGGAAGTGTTCAGATGAAATTGCCAACAGTCCAATAAGTTATCGGAACGTGCCTGTATAGATGAGGCATGGGACCTAATCTAGCGCTCGCATAGTATAGAGCCAACCGGATGCCTATCTAAGGTTGAGGGACTTTCCCATGATATTGACTAGTCCGATCGTGGTGGAAAGTCCTCAATGTTGATGCAGTCAAGTTGCGAAGTCAATGATGCATTGATAAGGCTCTTGACAGAGCTGATCACTACAGCCAGAGTTAGGAGGACAGTGAGTTGGCTCGAAGCAAGACCACTCACTTGTACTTAAACCTCCGAGACGAAGGAATTGTACGTTTTCATTGGGGAGTTTTTGAACACCCTCATGAAAACACGACAATGCACAGAGACTATTGTCAGAGCAAGACACAAAGTTTATCAGGGTCAAACTGATGCCCATTACTATCATAAAGGGTAGAAAAGGGAAATGGTACCTTGTTTGGTATAAGATAGATGTAGCCCGTGACCCCCCAGACGTGGAATATAAATATCGAGGTACCTCCTGAGCTTTCAAAATCATCAGCAAATGGAGAAGAGATCTTATCAATATATTCATTATACTTTGATACCTACTTTTGTTACAAGCTTTCTTGACCATTCTCCGAGAAACCTTATTGGCCCCAGTTACAATTCACCTGACTTAGAATTGGCTGCCGCCTAACACTTCAACAGACAGAGTATTTCTAATATACTTGGTTGAACGGTTACCTCTTCAAGTCCCTAGTCTTTAAATCTTTCTCTCAGAGCCTCCCTTAGCGCAGTACACCCATAGGGTGTAGACCAACTTGTGTGCTACTCCTATTGTACCTGGAAGCATGACTAGGACCCCGGTACGAACACATTACACTAGGAGAAACTATGTTAAGACCTACCTGCCCTCTACTACTGCCAGAGTCAATACTCTCTAGCTTTGCTAAACTTGTACCATGGAACATTTTTGTCTGCCAGGTCACCATAGTATTTTTTCCTCCTTGAATTCTGATTCCATAATCAGAGATAAAGAAGTTCTCGCTCTCGTCTTCCCCTAAGCTTCTATCAGTTGTCCAGAATAGACTATACTTATTTGGTACCCCTTTCTTATGAATTGCTCTTAACCTTTCTGTTAGTAGTTATTTTAACTAAAATTTATACTTTATTATATATCTTGAGTTGTTGCTCACAAAGAAGTCCACTGGAGGGGCTAGCTGCCCTTGCTGGACCTGATACACCTCTCCCTCATACTGAATTGAATAAGTATTGTTCTTACTTTGTTTTCCCTTATTATCCATTCTCTTTATTCCTGTTGCCAGAAACTTATCAATTTCCTAACTGATATCACTATGGCTAAGCTTTTGTCACGGCCACCCGGACCTGTATGGGAATGGAATATTGGGCTTTTAGTTGCATATACTGGTTGTGGTTTCTTTAGTTGCTTAGTAGGATTTCCTTTGTATTATGATTGGGGTTGGTTACGACGCGACGGAACCTGGCGGAACTTGATGGAAAGATCGCGGCTGCGCCTGACGCCAAGAACTTTCTTTTGTATTAGTGATCAAGGAGGATTTCCTATCTATATAAGGAGGTGTGCCCCCTTATGTTTTACGTTCTTTACGCAATCTGGTAATCTCCTTCGGACACCCTTTCTTACGTGCCAGGGAATTATCTTATCCACCACGATACCTTTCTTTGGCCCGACCGGGGTCAAAGTTTTTCCTCATCACTTCCATCATGGGGTCATCACCCCCTCTCGTTCCGCAACCTCCTACCCAGCCTGACGGGGCCTCACAGTTTTGTGGGCAGGGTCGCTTATCACCTATCTTTCGGGCTCAGGGCCCCCCCTCGCTTAAACGCCCTCGCAGTGGCACCACCACCTCTCTACCACGATACTCAGAAACAGACTTTCCGACCTCTAATGGGGCCTTCATGAGTATGTTCGATGAGTTTTTCGAATCACAGGGAAATACTGCACCAAACACCTTTGGGAAAGCCTTTCCTATCATTATCCACATGATGCAAATTTTGCACGAAGACTACAGGAAGGCGACTGATGGGCTAACCGAGCACATCACCGCCCTTACTGAGGAACTGGACGACCTTCGCGCCTCCATCCCCTCTCAGCCTGCTCCTACCACTGCCCCGCCGGCACCCCCTACTACCAACCCTGCAGAGCAACCCTCTGTTCCTCCTCCACCTCCTCCCCTTCCCCAGACCCAACCTCCCGGCCCCGCAGCTCCTCCTTCTTGGGCTACTGTCGCTAGGAGAACAAGGAAGCCCTCTCAGAAACCCGCAAAGCCTGGCCCCAAGCCAGCCAAATCCTCCTCTACCTCGGCTAAGCCCCTTACCGAAAAGAAAAAGGGCCTCACCATGCGCAAGCGTCGGCTCATTGTCAAACGAGACGCTGCCCCCCTTACTGCTACTGCTGTACAGCTACGCGACAGCATCAACCAGGCCTTGGCCTCCACCCTTATCCAGTCTGTCTCCTTCTGGGATGGACATGTTACCCTCACCACTATGGACACGATCAGAG